AAGCCTCCTTCCGAGGACCTTAAAGATTGAAGCCTCCTTCCGAGGACTTTAAAGATTGAAGCCTCCTTCCGAGGACTTTAAAGATTGAAGCCTCCTTCCGAGGTCTTTAAAGATTGAAGCCTCCTTCCGAGGACTTTAAAGATTGAAGGGCCCCACTTACCGGCCACTTACCGATCGATCGCCCTGACTGCTACTGGTTCTGGAACTCCGGGAATTCTAAGAAATCCCCGTACGGGCCACCAAATGTGCAGCGCCTACCACCCCGACCAGCAGGGAAGAAAGACTCGCACACCAGTTCCTTCCAGCAGCAATTTACTCAGGAGTTGCTAGTTACATGAAGCTTGAAGGTGTGCCCCCGAGCCAGCCCAGGAGCGAAGCTTTATACCCTGTGTAGGACTGCCCATGAGCCCATACCACGTCTCGCACTGTGATTGGTCAAGGACCCATGACACAAGATCAGGCCACCAGGAAGTACCGCCCCAGGACCAAACAAGGCTTGTTTACTCCAAGTCTGCAAGGGCAAGCAGGCACCATCTTTAAGGCGTGGCAGCAGCGCTCCACACCTGGCTGTCCTGGAACTCACTCTGTAGACCAGGCTAGCCTCGAACTCTCGAACTCAGAAATCTGCCTGCCTCTGCCTCCCAAGTGACTTTCTTGCTTTTTAATTCTCTCTCTCTCTCTCTCTCTCTCTCTCTCTCTCTCCCTCTCCCTCTCCCTCTCCCTCTCCCTCTCTCTCTCTCTCTCTCTCTCTCTCTCTCTCTCTCTCTCTCTCTGTGTGTGTGTGTGTATGTGTGTGTGTGTGTGTGATGGGATGAGGGAGGGTTTGAGACAAGGTTTCTCTACGTAGCCTTGGCTATCCTGGAACTCACCCTGTAGACCAGACTGGTCTTGAACTCAGAGATCTGCCTCCAGTGTGCTGGGATTAAAAGCATGTGCCAACACCACCGAGCCTTAAAACTCTTATAAAGCTAAATTTAGAGTCACTTTCCTCCAGAAATGGTTTGGTCTATTTTTGACAGGCATCAAGAGGTTGATGGTTGTGGCCTAAAGTAGTCTTCAGTTCAACTCCCTTACCTACTGCTGAACTAAAGGTTCTTACTTCCGTCAGGGCTGAAGATAATGGCTCTTGGAGGTGAGCCCATGCTTACAATCAGTGCTCTGTGGTTGGATTTGGAGTTTGGTTTTATTTAACGAAAAAATGAAGTGTCCTTACTTTTTGAGATCTCACCAATGCACTTAAGATACATTTTACTCAGAATACTCATTTTACTAGTTGTTTCTTAGAAAAGGGGATCTATTAAGGAATGTGTCCCAGATGTTAATAAATCAGATACATTCCATTCACTTTAAGTCTGGGTTTCAAGCTTGCCAAAGACACCAGTTAGCTTTCTTATTAAGGAACATAATGAACACTTCTCTGTCTTCATCTTAACCCTTTACCAACAATGACACAGTCAAACAGCATCTAAAGAACAGACAAAAATCCTAAAGTAAAGAGATAGGCGACAAACGGTACTCAAATAGTCTGCTTTGGCTGTGAGCGCTCTGAATGGAAACTGGAGAGGGTAAGAGGCCTGCTCAGGGGGAAAGATCACAGCTCAAAGAAGAGGTGGGGGAGGGAGGTGGAGGAAGGGCGGAAGCTACTCACTGAACCGGTGACATCGGAGCAGACGCTAGAAGGAGGAAGTGAACAGTGAGATTACAAGGGAGCAAGCGTTTCAGATGACAGAATCCCCGTGTCGAGGTCTAAAGCCGGGGTTGTACATGGAGCATTCGTGAAGAGAAGACGCCTGCTGTGGCTATAAAGTGATATAAAGCAGAAGACACTAGGAGATGAGGTCAGTACGGAAAGCATCCAGGCTACTGTAGAGAGCTGACACTTACTGAGATGGAAAACACTTTTTGCAGAGTGACAATATGAAGTTACTGGCGCGTCTTCAACGATTCTTCTAGCTACTTGTTGGAGAGCAAGGGGATCTCACAGGGGATCCAGAGCAGAAGCAGACTCCAATAGGGGTACCATTGGTTCTGTTCTCTCTCTTGTCTCTATTCTTTCTTAAAAAGTCTCTTCAAACATTTGTCATTTCTTTATGTAGAGTTACTGTGATTCAGTAGCACCATCTTCGATGAGAATCAGATATGCTTTTAGTTCCAGCACTTGAAAAGCAGAGGCAGGTAGATCTCTGTGAGTCTGAGGCCTGGCTGATCTACAGAGTGAATTACAAGAGAGCCAGGGCTACAGAGATGTCGGGAGCCAAACCCAGGAAACTACCTGCTGTCCTAAGAGAACCTAGGAAGTTACCTGCTGTTCTTGAAAGCCTAGTCAGTGCAAGGTTAAGAAAGGCGGTTCACAGGTCTCAGGCCTCAGGAACTTAAAGAGCATCTGATTTCCTGGAAGCTGGTAAGGACAATGGGATGGTCTAGGGCAATAAGCATTCAATCGTGGGATAGCCCTAAGCAATGACCCTCACCCAAACTTCCTGGTTTGCTGTGTCTTTATAACCTGCACCCAAAATTAAAGTTTCAGAGCTTGGTCAGAACCCCAGACTTGCTCTCACTCCTTGTGTCTCTTGTCCCTTCATTCTTTCGTCCCCTTCCCTAAGGTCTTGTCGAATCCCCGCGGGCCAGGGCACAAAGAGAGACGCTGTGACAGTAGTAGCAGTTGTACTACTACTAGTAGTTGTTGTAGTAGTAGTAGTAATAGTTAGAAATACTAGTTAGTAGTAACAGTGGTAGTAAATAATAATGAAATAATAATAATAATTCAGTTTGCAGCTCCTTGTCTTCATTTCTGTTTCCAAGTCTTTCTGGTTCTTATTCCTTATCCAGCACCACTTCCACCCCTACCTCCAGACGATGGGCAGCCTAGTCCCGATCTGAGTCCTTTCTTGTATCTAGCTCAAGTTTCTGGGTGATCACAGGTGAATCTATGGTTTTTGAGACAACACCGTTTTTGGTAATTACAAGCCTTGAGCTCCTGCCCTGAGCTCACAGGTAGGTCTGTATGCAATAATTACTTTGTATCCAAACTGGAGCTCTTTGTTTCTTCCTAACTTCCTCTTCCTCAGTCTATTCCTCCACCCTCAGTATTCGAGGTGGGGGGGGGATATTAAAGAAAGGATATTAAAAACAGCAAGAGAGAAAAGTCCAGTAAAACTCAGTGATTACTTGACAGAAACCTTTATTTCTCTTTCTTTTCTTTTTCTTTCTCTTTTTTCTTTGTTGCTGCTGTTTTGTCTTTTGGAGTTTTTTTTTTGGGGGGGGGTTAGGGTTTTGTTTGTTTGTTAACAGAGTTTCTCTGTGTATAGCCGTCCCAGAACTCAATCTATAGACCTCGCTGGCTTGGAACTCAAAAAGATCCACCTGTCTCTGCCTCCTGAGTGCTGGGATTAAAGGCATGTCCCAACACCCACCTTGACAGAAACTTTGAAATCTGACAAGGTGTATTCTAAATTCTGAAAGACAACAACTGTCAACTCAGCAAAAACTATATGCTAAAATTGAAGAAGAAATTTTAAAAATCCCATAATAAAAACAAATTTATTTTAAAAATGAATCTGTGACCACTAAGCCATCTTCACAGAGGACACTAAAAGAAATGCTTTGGTCAGAAGAAAATGATAAATACATTAAAGATATCATAGGGAATAAATAATTCCAGAACAGTTGATCAAAAGAGGCCTAAGAACAGAAAACACCACAGATGGATAAAATGACCAGAATTATCACACATCATCAGCTAACAACTCTTAGTATTAGTGGTCTCAATTCTCCAATAAAAAGATGTGTACTAGCAGACTGAATTATAAAACAGGATCCATCTTTTGGCTACCCCTAAGAAAGGCATTTCATGGGGACTTCTGGTCTGGGCTCGAGCATAGAGCAGGTCACAGGCGGCAGCTCTGCACCCAACTCCAGAAAACCAAGAGAAAGAGGGACTCCCAGGAGCTTGAACTCAGGCAGCATCCCAGGTAAAAATGAATCACCCATGATGTCTGCTGTTAGAAGTTCTAATCCAGATGCTGGCCTCCAAACTTATACTACTCAGACCTTTGAAGGGCCACTGACAAGAACATCAAACAGCTAGAGATTGACATCACTAATCTGAAGAAATCCCTCGTTTCACTGTCTGAAGAGACCTCCTAAAATCACAAAGATCCTTCTTGGACTTGATTTACTCTATTACAATAGAAAAGGCTGTGTACAGCTCTTGACTGTGTACAGCCCTTAAAGAAGAAGGTTGCCTTTACATAGACAAGACAAGGAGGGTTAAAGAGAGTATGAAATAGGTAGTGAAGGCCCTAAGAAAAATCAGAGAGAGAAAGAGACAGATGAATGCTGGTACAAGAATTGGTTTTCAGCCTCTCCAAGGTTGTCGACTCTATTTTCTCCCATCTTGGGACCATTATTTGGGTTCTTTTTGCTTTTTTCTGCTGGTCCCGGGCCCTCAAATAGGCGGACTAACTCTGTGATAAAACAGATAAATAATTTGGTAGCAAAACCTACTCAGATACATTATCATAAGTTAGCTATGGAGGACCACGAGACTCAAGATGAGGTTGTTACTTTATACAGGGTGTTTCCAAAACCCATCTCCACCCAACCTAAAAGGGGGGACTTCTGCCCCTAGACCAAGCAGAGAGGGGCCACCCAGAACCCTCTCTGACAGGCGTTCTGAATTCTTGCTTAGGCTGCGAGGCTAAGCACTGCAAGGGAATATAAATAAAAGATAAAAATATCTATCTGGGTTCCCTGAGGGACAAGCCTGACTGCATGGGGTTGATGTCAAAAGTATCCCCTCTCCAGGAAAAAGACATTGGGATGAGTATGGCCCTCATGCCTCACTGAACAATGACAGGGGGACTGGAGCCATTACAAGGTCCCCTTCAAGTACTGGAGGTCAGGCCTCTATCCCCGCCTTTGCAAGTTTAGAATTGCCACAGCCCTTCTATACTTAGAGAAGGGAGGAGATGTCAGGGGCAGCCCTGCTTACACACTGAAGGCCTAAAATCAGCCATAGGCCTAAAATTAGCAATAGGCCTGTCATACATGTATACTAACACCAAGTCTTGGGTCTCAGTGGAAAAACATTGAAACAGATGGCTATAAGCTAATGTCAACAGGCAGCTTTTGTGGAAATTTACAAGCCTGAGTAGTCATAGACCTTGTAAATAGGTAGCCTTGGCAGACAATACCATCTTAGATTAGGACAAGCGAGTCATAGGCAGAGTCATGGTGACTTGTCCCCTGAACCTCCACCCAGCCGATACCCGGTTCTGAAGATATCTGTATTCCCCCTAAAGACCCACACTCCATTGTCATTCCCTTCCCCACATCCTGCCTTTCTGTGTTTATAACCCCTGTGTGAATGAATTACGATTTGAGAAAAAATAAATTATTAAAAAAAAAGAAAGGCATTTCATCATCAAATATAGGCATAGCCTTAGAATAAAAGGAATTCCAAGCAAAGGAAACCAAGACACAAGAAACTGTAGTTGTTCTGATATCCAACAAAATAGAGTCGAAGCCAAAACTAATCAGAAGAGAATAATTCACCTGGAAGATATTATTTCTAAAAGTATACACATCAAACAATGATGTACCTAATTTCATAAAAGAAATACTGTAAGATCTAAAATCATAGATAATTCCCAACACAGTGATATTGTGTGACCTCAACACACCACTCTCAGCAATAGACGGTGATCTGAATAATACTAAACAAAGAAACATTGGAGTTGAATCAATTTGGCCTAGTCAGTAACTACAGAACATAAACCACAATTCATAAATCACAACATCATAAATCAAATGGACCTGACAAGCATTGCAGAATATATTCCACCCACTAAAGGACACACATTCATCTCACTAGCCCAAGGAACTTTCTCCAAAATTGACCATATATTAGGACACAAACCAAGTCTCAACAGATACAAGAAATTGAAATAATATTGTGCATTTGTACTGGCCAGTTTCACATCAACTTGACATAAGCTAGAGTCATTTGGGAAGAGGGAACCTCAAATGAGAAAATGTCCCCACCAGACTGACCTATGAGTGTATTTTCTTGGTTGATGATTGATGTGGGAGAGCCCGGCTTACTGTGAGCAGTGACACATCTGGGCAGGTAGTCTTCCGTGCTGAAAAAAAAAAAAAAAAAAGTAGGTTGAAAAGCCAAAAAAGAAAAAAAAAAGCCATCCAGAGCAAACCAGTAAGCAGCACTCTTCCATGGCATCTGGGTTAATTCTAATCTCCAGATTCCCTCCTTGAGTTCCTGCCCTGGCTTCCCTGGATGATAGGTTACAAGCTATAAGATAAAGTAAACCCTTTCCTCTCCAATTCGTTTTTGGTCCTAGTCTCTTATCACAATAGAAGCCCTAACCAATACAGCATTCTATCTCATCATAACAGAATAAGCTGGATATCAACAACAATAGAAAATACTCAAACAATACACTATTGAGGGATAATTGGGTCAAAGAAGATATCAGGAAGGAAATTTTAAAATTCGTAGAATTGAATGAAAACAAACTCATAGCATACTGAAGTCTCTGGGGACACAATGAAGGCAGTTCTAAAAAGGAAAGTTTATATCACTGAACATATACATAAAAAAAATTAAGAGGTCTCAAAATAATAATTTAATGATACACCTGAATTTCTTGTAATAGAAGAATTGGAGGGAAAGGAATAGGAAATAGATTGAATTAAAAAACAAATTCCTGTGTGAATATTAAACAAACTATTTTTAACTCTTCATTTATTTTGTATCTTGAGACAGTATTTTGCTCTGTAGCCCTGGCTTCTGTTGGACTCATGTTCACAGTCTCCTTGCCTCTGTGCTGGAATCATTAGCGTGTGAAAGGATCCTTGGCTAGAAACATGCTTTATTATTATTATTATTATTATTCACTTTACTTCCCACTCACTGCCCCTCCTCCAGGTCACCCCTTCCTACAATCCTTTCTCCCTCCTCCTCTGAGTAGGTAGGGATCCCCCTTAGTATTCCCCCAACCGTGGCACATCAAGTCTGTGCAAGGCTAGGCACATCCTCTCCCACTGTGGCCAGACAAGACAGCCCAGCTAGAACATAACCATACAGGTGACAGCTTTTGGGATAGCCCTCTCTCCAGTTGTTCGGGACCCACATGAAGACCAAGCTATCCACCTGCTATATGTGTGTGTGAGGCCTAAGTCCAGCCTGTGTGTGCTCTTTCGTTGGTGGTTCAGTCTCTCAGAGCCCCAAGGGTCCAGGTTAGTTGACTCTTCCTGTGGAGTTCCTAACCCCTTTGGGGCCCTCAATCCTTCCTCCTATTCTATAAGAGTCCACAAGTGGGCTGGAGAGATGGCTCAGTGGTTAAGAGCACTGACTGTTCTTCCAGAGGTCCTGAGTTCAATTCCCAGCAACCACATGGTGGCTTACAACCACCTGTAATGAGATCTGATGCCCTCTTCTGGAGTGTCTGAGGACAGTGACAGTGTACTCATATACATAAAATAAATGATTCTTTTTTAAAAAAAGAATCACAACCCTTTAAAAAAGAGAAAGAGAGAGAGAGAAGGAGAGAGAGAGAGAGAAGGAGAGAGAGAGAGAGAGAAGGAGAGAGAGAGAGAGAGAGAGAGAGAGAGAGAGAGAGAGAGAGAGAGAGGGAGAAAGGTGTTTTAGGGGCTGGAGAGATGGCTACATCGTTAAGAGAATGAACTGCTCTTCCAGATGGACCTGAGTTCAATTCCCAGCAACCATATGGTGCCTCACAACCATCTTTAATGAGGATTTGATGCACTCTTCTGGTGTATCTGAAGACAGCAATGGTATACTCACATTCATAAAATAAATAAAATCTTTAAAAATATTTTTTTTTAAAAAAGAGTGCATAAGCTCCATCCACTGTTTGGCTGTTGGTGTCTACATATGTCTAAGTCAGCGGCTGCATGGAGCCTCTCAGAGGACAGCCATGCTAGGCTAGTGTCTGGAAGTATAACAGAGTATCATTAATAGTGTCAGGGATTGGTGCTAGCCCACAGGATGAGTCTTAAGTTGTGCCAGTTATTGGTTGCCCATTCCTTCAGTCTCTGATCCATCCCCCTTGCCTTCATTTTGTGTAGACAGAACACGTTTTGTGGATGGGTTGGTGTCCCTATCATTCCACTGCGGTTCCATGCTACACTCCACAGACCCAAAGAAGCTAAACGAGAAGGAAGACACAAGCAAGGATGCTTGAATCTCACTTAGAAGGGAGAATACAATAGTCATGAAAGGCAGATGGAGGGAGGGAACTGGGAAGGAGAGGGAGTGAAGAGGGGAATGGGAGGGCATTCAGGATCGGGGAGGGACAGGAGAGATGGCCAGATGGCCATGAGAATGAATGGAAAATCTGCAACTGATGGGGGTGGGCATCTCCAGGATGAGATAGAGACCTGCAATAAGGGAGGCATCCAAGAATCAATGAGGATGACATTAGCTGTGACTCACAGCACTGTGGATATGGAACCTGAAGAGGCCACCTCCTGTAGCCAGGCAAGAACGCCAGAAGCTTTCTCTCTCTCTCTCTGTCTGTCTGTCTCTCTGTCTCTGTCTCTGTTTCTGTCTCTGTCTCTCTCTCTCTCTTCTTCTCCTCCTCCTCCTCCTCCTCCTCCTCCTCCTCCTCCTCCTCCTTCTTCGGAAGATTTATTTATTTTATGTATATGAGTACATTGTTGCCCTCTTCAGACACACCAGAAGAGGGCATCAGATTCTATTACAGATGGTTGTGAGCTACCATGTGGTTGCTGAGAATTGAACTCAGGACCTCTGAAAGAGCAGTCAGTGCTCTTAACCGCTGAGCCATCTCTCCAGAACCAGAAGCATTCTTATGTCCCCTTTCCTTCACTTTCACATCCAGCCAATGAGTTGTTTCTTCCTAAATGCTGTATTTAGCTCGGCATGGCTGTTCACACTCCTGGTGGCAGTACTAGTGAGGCTGAGGAGGAGTTTGCCTTGAGTTTGTAGACATCCTGGGTTACATAGTAAGTTCAAGATTGGCCTGGACTACATAGCACGGGGGATGGATCAGAGACTGAAGGAATGGCCAACCAATAACCAGCCCAACTTGAGACCCATCCCATGGGCTAGCACAAATCATGACACTATCAATGATACTCTGTTATGCTTGCAGACAGGAGCCTAATATGGCTGTCCTCTGAGAGGCTCCATGCAGCAGCTGACTGAGACAGATGCAGACACCAACAGGCAAACAGTAGATGGAGCTTGTGGACTCTTACCAATAAAGGGATTCTGAGTCCCACCAGCGAGATGGCTCAGCAGTGAAAAGCATTTACTGTTTTTGCAGAGAATCTAGGTTAAATTCCCAGTAGCTACATGGCGGCCCACAACTACCTGTAAATCCAGTTCTAGGCACACACACCTACATATGCAATAAATATGCCTATTCTTTAAGTTGTTTAAGAAAAAGGTAAAAAGATGATTGTACATGTAAAAATTCCCACAAATGTCAGTGTCTTTAATTGGTTGTTTTTCCTGCTTAGAAAATATCAGGTCAAGGCTGGGCATGGTAACTTTAATCTCAGTGCTAGGGAGGCAGAGGCCTGTGGATCTTTGAGGCCAGCCTGGTCTACAAAGGGAGTTCTAGGACAGCCAAGGCTGTTACACGGAGAAACCTTGTCTCAAAAACAAAAAAACAAAAATGAGAGGGGTGGAATATCAGACCAGTTGGCATTTGACTGAGCTTTGTTGGACTCAGCTGTCTTGACTACAGCCTGTAGAATGGGTTAGAGTCTGATTCACATGTTCATTCTAGGGCTTAGGCTGAAGGGTAGGAGCTACCACAGGGATGATGTCACAGCATTATCAGAAAGCAAGGCAAACCAATTGTGTTAATACATTTTGAGTTTTTTGTTCACATTCTTTCTCCTGGCCAAAGCAAGTCACACAGACAAGCCCTAAGTCAAGAGGTGGGGACACACACCACGTCCTCTATCTTTAATTCCAGTGTTCAGCAAGCAGAGAGAGACAGATCTATCAGTTCAAGGTCAGCCTGCTCTATAGTTAGTTCCATAATTGTATAATGAGACTTTGTCTCAAACAAAAAGTATACTCAACTATGTTCTGTGAAATAACTCATAGAAATAAATTATTCTCTGTAGCATATGAACCTCATGTATGTGTGTATCTCTCTCATTTAAAAAGAAAGAATGAAAGACAGGAATTAGCCCATTAATTATTTCAAATACGTGGTGCAACTGTTCCTATGAATTAATCCAAGGCACTTGGAAGACAATTACACTCTGTGTTAATAACAGTGCCAGGCTTTTCCAGTGTGCTGCACTCCAAAGAGTACTGTGTTTTCATTGACAACATTCGCCATTACATATGCATATGGAAACCAGGCATTTTCATCAAAATTACTGTAATAGCATTAAGAGATTATTATTTTTCCCAGTTTCCTTGGAAGAACATTCACTAAATCAGATTATTTATTACTTGACTGCTCTTCTATCTGTCCTGTACAGTTAGGTAACTAGAATCCTTGAAAATACAAACTTCAGAATAAAAACACGATTTTATACATTAATGATCTCAAATAAAAGAAGGGTGCTATGTTTGTGCATCACTTCTTCCGAGAAAGTTAAGTCTGTGTTCTGCTTAGGAGAGATAACACTTTTTGTCCCTGTAGGTGGCCCCCTGGTGTAGCCATTAGTTGCTAATTACTTGCAAACAAATAAACAATTAACTCCTTAAGCTGCTGGCTGGGCAAGTGTTCATTGACTTGCTAAAACTTTCTAAAACAGGATTTTAATTAGTGACGTTGGAAACCCAGCCCCCTAGTCAGCAAAGCTACAAGGTGAACTGCTGGAAGATCCCAGCTCTGCACACGTGGGGCAGGAGCCCTCCAGCTCTGTAGGATCCAGAAGAGGATGTCTCCCAGCCTCCGGGAAGGTGCTCAGCTCCGGGAAAGCAAACCCTCGCCCTGCTCCTTCTCAATTGAGAGCATTTTAGGACTGGACCAGAAAAAAGATTGTGCAAAAAGACCCCACAGACCCTGGACAGACACCCGCGGCGACTCAGGTATGTCGCAACTTAACTTCTAAATTCATCTGCGTCTTCAGTTTGCCCTTTATTTCACGCAGTGTAGAGTTAGAGACCGCGTTCTTATTCTGTTCCATGAATATAAAAAGCCTTCAACAGGGACGTAAGGGAATAGAATGCCTACCATAGGTGATTCACTCCCAGAGAGAACTAGCATTTGCTTCAGAAGATTCTCTGTGTACATGAGTCACGTCAGGCAGTCTAAATCTCTCTTCACTGAAAAATGAATGGTAGGGTCCAAAATGTTCTCTATTACCAAGGCAGTCTCCTCTCTCTCTCTCTCTGCCTGTCTCTGTCTGTGTGAATGTCTCTATCTGTGTATGTCTGCCTATTTCTGTCTCTCTGTCTCTGTTTCCCTCCCTCCCTCCCTCTCTTTCTTCTTTTTTCTTTCTTTCCTTCCTTTTTCTTCTTTTTCTTCCTTCCTTCCTTCCTTCCTTCCTTCCTTCCTTCCTTTCTTTCTTTCTCCTCCTCCTCCTCCTCCTCCTCCTCCTCCTCCTCCTTTTCCTCCTCTTCCTTCTCCTCCTCCTTCTTCGTTGTTGTTGTTGTTGTTGTTGATGGGAGAGGCAATTCTTTTGTGAAACCTTGAAGAATTCCCTAGGAAATTTCAAAATAAGCTACTAAAATGACTTTTTTCCAGAACTTTGTGGAACACGGGCATTCTAAGATGAACCTTATTCTTCTGATTTTAGAGAAAGATGGTAACCCATGTCTACATGCTCCAGATCTTCCCAGGGAGATTTCATTTCCTTGTCCAGTGGATCACCCAAAGCCAGAAGAAAGTGCTTTGAAATACAAAAATTATTTTTCAGCCTCAGAAACACGCTCTTTAAAAAGGGAGTTGAGTTGGTACCGAGGACGAAGGCCAAGAACTGCTTTTACCCAAAATCAGGTGAGAAGTTTTTCGGTTTTTTATTTTGTTTTGTTGTTCTTTGATTTGTTGTTGTTGTTTTGGGGGGGTTGTTTTTTGTTGTTTGTTTTTTTGGTCAATAGTGACATCACAAAGTAACCGATGCCCTGGTGGACAGAAGCCAGTCACTCTGGGGTCCCAGTGTAAAAGTGGCATTAATGAAAGGATGGATTCATAGTTTAACAGTCTCTGGGGAACCAATTGTTTTAAAATACATTTAGATTAACTGCCCAAATTTAAGTGCATCTTTCATCTGCACAAATGAAAGCCCAATTTTGGTGACATATGATGGAGTACTGTCACTTTAAAGAATTCCTTTTTTATTCTAGGTCGAAGTATTGGAAAATGTCTTCAGAGTGAACTGCTATCCTGGCATTGATATCAGAGAGGACCTAGCTCAAAAGCTGAATTTAGAAGAGGACAGAATCCAGGTAGGGTTCAAACACAGTTGTTACTCATGATGATAATACAGGAATGTGTCTGAGAACTGTTTTATTTTCCCTTGATTCTAGATTTGGTTCCAAAATCGTCGAGCAAAGCTGAAAAGGTCCTGTAGAGAATCACAGTTTCTAATGGCAAAAAAACCCTTCAATCCAGATCTTCTGAAATAGGTAGAAAATTATACATGTGGGCTTCTCTTCCAGTTGTACCACACAAGAAATCAATGGAAATTCCAAGTACTTAAAATGTTACTGTTTCTCTCCTGTACCTAATCTGAATATTGTTATTCTTTATGAAACTGTTGCAAATAATTATGATTCTAGCATAGTACATATTATATCTGGACATTTTTAGTTATAATGAAAAACCCTTTCCTATATATTTTTAATAAAATTTTCCAGAAATGACAGGTATATTACTATATTTTCTTCTTTGAAACTTTCACAGATGTATTCAATCTATTTTAATCATATTTATCCCTTCTTCCCCTAACACTTCCCAGATTCACCCCATTCTCCCTCTCAACCTCAACAATAACTATTTTCAAGTGAGTAAAGTTAATCTAATAAGTTACTATGTGTATTAAAATCACGAAGTTCATAACTAACTGATTCCACAGGCTGGTTACAACTTACAAAGTATTTCAAAATATGATAATAATAATAAAGGGTTTAATCTATTTCAATTAGTTTCTTTCAGGTACCTTTTGAAACACTATTATACACTGAGCTATTTGTGAATCTTCTGCTGATTTCTGGTCATGTGCTCAAACAAATCTACAGCACACCAATTTTAAGTTGTTTTTTCTTTTATCGTCATTATGGCCAAGTGCAGACATAAGAGCATCTGCTCTCATATTCCCTCCATGCACTGCACTGCCAGAAAGGACTGAGCAGCAGAGCCGGTGTGACGGTTGAGAAGGTTAAGGTACTTGCTGCCAAGCCCAGTGACCCAGGTTCCGTCACTGCCCCAGATCCCACACGGCTGAGAGAGAATCAACGCTGAGAAATTGTCCTCTGGTCTCCACATATGCATCATGAACACGCATGCACACATACGCACACATGCATATGTGTGCACACACATGCATGCACACACACATGAATAAATAAGTATATTTTTAACATTTTTTAAATGAATAAATTTACAAATAAGTGCAAATTTTTAAATAGCTTTCAAATTCATTTAATATAACCTTTTTTGGTTTTAAGTGACAGTGATCATCCAGTTTGTTTCTGTTTTCAGTTTAATGAGTCCAATCAACTATATACTTCAGTACCAGGTTAGTGTCTTTTTGCATGTGCTCATGTACATATATGTATGTATATATATCTGCTCTCATATGCCCTCCATGCACTGCACTGCCAGAAAGGACTGAGCAGCAGAGCCAGTGTGACGCCTCAGAAGGTTAAGGTACTTGCTGCCAAGCCCAGTGACCCAGCTTCTGTCACTGCCCCAGATCCCACACGGATGGGGATGCAAAACTTATATATACATGTATATACTTATATAATACTTACATAAGTATTATACACACTTACATAGACTATTAATTTAATACCTATTAATAAGTATAAGTACTTATATATAAGGATATTATATATAAGTATATAACTATAAATATTATGTATACTTATATGTATAAGCATATTATATATTATATATAAGTATAAATGTTATATGCTTATATATGCAAAAACATATGTGCATATAGTTATGTATATAACTATATACATCAATACCATGCTCTGTCTTTTTGCATGTGCTCTGACTTGGCTACTGAAAGTAATAAGGTACTTTCTATAGGACAAACCATACATGCCCTATGAAGATGGAACAAGGAACTATGTAGCAAAAAGGGAATCCTCTCCTCTAAAAAACAAAACAAACAACAGCAGAACTCCAGGTGTTCATTTTCTAGTTAATGTAACGAATCTTACCCCATAGGTTTTGGTTGGTTTTGAAATGTTAGTTTGAATGCTCTAATTCTGTCCAATGGCCTCCAGATTCCAGTTTCCTCCACCCTAATTGAATTTCGCCTTCTCTTTTCTATCTCCCTCAATCCTCTGTCCATCCTATTTCCCTGTAAATACCAGAGTGAAAGTTTTGATTGGATTACCAAATCTATTACCACTACACATTTTTTCCTGGGTTATTTATTTATTTATTTATTTATTTATTATTGGAAGACAGCTTGGCTCAGAACTTTATGAAATAATTTACTGCCAGCACACTGTGGGGAGAGAGCTCTGTTTTTCAGGAATCAATCAGCAATACACTCCTTAATCTTTTCGCTTGTGCCAAGACAGGGAAGGGGAGAAAGGGATAGGTGAGCAGAGCTGTCACTGGGAAGGCCTGAAGGTCAAAGGGCTTCTGAGCAAGCCTGGGCCACTCCTGCCCAGGAGTGAGGAGTTTCTCCCAGGAGTGAATAGTTGGAGCAGTCCTTGTGAAGCAGTCAGCTAACATTTCTCCACTAGTGGCTTTCTTTGCTCCCCTGGGCTCCTCTGAAAATGTTGGGTTTGAAGGTTGGAAGCTAACAGAGCAGGAGGCGGGGGCAGCTTGTCATGGGGTATGAATAAGCTTTTCTTTTATTTAGCAATACTGCTAAGGTAGAAGCCACCTCAAATCTTATCCTTCAGAGAGAACCACCGTTAAATACTTTACAGATCTCAGATATCATAAAAGAGTTGGCTTTTTTGTTGGTTGTGCTATTGTTTATACAATTATGACCATAATTTGCAATATCTTGCAGTGTCAGAGTTACTGTTTTCTCTCCTTCACGTCTGCTTAGTTTATGGAATTTCAAGTCTTGAACAAAACAAGAAACTACTATTGGATATTCATATTTGAGCATTTTTGAAGTAGTGTAGTTTTTCATACTATTTGGCTTCAAACTCAAACTTCAGTTTGTAATTAAACCAAACTCATAGAGGGGTCTGTATAAAATTTCACAATCTAAAAGAAAATGAAAAAGCTTCACAAATATTAATCAACAATTAACAGTCTTTTTTGTTTTGTTTTGTTTTGTTTTGTTTTGTTTTGTTTTGTTTTTCGAGACAGGGTTTCTCTGTATACCCCTGGCTGTCCTGGAACTCACTCTGTAGACCAGGCTGGCCTCGAACTCAGAAATCTGCCTGCCTCTGCCTCCCAAGTGCTGGGACTAAAGGCGTGCATCACCATTGTCCGGCTCAACAATTAACAATCTTTAAAAAGAAAGCATGAAAGCTGATATGTCTGCAAAGTCTGATGAGGGAAAAAGGAGATTGATACCGTCCTCCCCTCTGCGTGTCCCAGCACAATGCTGTGTGTGTAAGTGACTCCCAGGCCCTAAGTCTCAGAAAGGCTTATAACTAAAATAATTTATGTGTAACTGATGGCATTGTGTTTTTGTAGCTGAAATAACAATACAGTAGCACAATCATTACTAATGTATAATGATGTAATTAGCACTGGGTTCAGTAGCAGAGCACTCACCTAGCATGTGTGAGTTCAATACCCAGCACTACAGGAAAGAGTTACATTGTGATTGAAATAAATAATATGTAGATGTCAGAAAAAATGAAAATAGTTTGTAATGTTGAAAATACTGCTGGGTGTTGGTGGTGCATGCCTTTAATCCCAGCACTTGGGATGTAGAGGAAGGAGGATCTCTGTGAGTTCAAGGCCAGCCTAGTCTACAGAAAGTTCCCAGACAGCCAGGGTTATACACAGAAACCATGTATCCAAAAAAGAAAGAAAAAAGAAAGGAAGGAAGGAAGGAAGGAAGGAAGGAAGGAAGAAAGAAAGAGGAAGAAAGACAAAAAAGAAAAAATGAAGAAAAAGAAAAAATGTATATGTCATATAAAACCACTTAATTTTAAATATAAGTAATATCTGTTTTATTATAATTCTTATGAGACAAATTCATATTATATGAAAATACTCAAGAAGCAGGATAAAACACAAGATCGCCCCTGTATTTCCCTTAAGACCATTTTTAGAAACCTGAAAGGTAATGACTGGTTTCGTTACTGGAAATAACGAGTCATTAACACTTTTGGAATTAAAATTGCTAAAAATCTGTAAAGAATGTAATAACATTCAGCGGGAAACTAGAAGTTAACTTTTTGAAGGGGGAAAAAAAAGCGAAATGCAAAGCTAGGGTAGAATTCTCTTTCCCTTGAGAGCCAGGCTCTAATCCACAGCTTATCTCTGTGGCTGGTAATTCCAGGCCTTTGTCTCCAGTAAAGCTCAGGACAAGGTGAACAGTGGTAGCAAATCAAGCTAATGCAGCCAGGCTAATACCTGCAGCGTCTCTATTATCTAACCTCCGCCCAAATGAAGTTATTTGGTCTCCTGTAATGGCATTTGTCTCTCCTAAAACCAGCTAGACAAAGCCGGTCGGGAAAGAGTTCTGGTGGGAACAATGGCTGTGTGTGCTGGTGGTCAGCGTCCGGGTTAATCAGTGTTAATAGCTGCTTTCTTCGCTTGCATCTTATCACACATCACACAAACGGCATAAGCCTCCCACTAGCAAACCCAGCGCACAGCACCGACCAGGAACTCTGAAACGGGAAGGGTGAGCTAGTTCCTTTACGATGTGAAATCCAACTCATGGAGATAATCAGTGACTTACTGACTTCGTTCTCCCAGCCCCAAACTAGACTAAACTTAGCTTAGCCTAGTATTAATTTTCTGTCTCCTGTTGCACACACACACAGAGCAGTATCGGCAGCTACTGGAGACACCCAACCCTGTGAGAGTCACCTCCTTTTCAGTTTCTTATTTTCTCAGTTTCTTCCTTCAATGCTAATGGGTCTTAGCAGGCCCGCTGGTGTCAACGAGCTTTACTGAATGAGTCCCACAAAGGAACCCCTCACAAAAGAACTCTGAAAACTAAAAAGTTTATTGCTATCTTCTGTCTGTTGTAAAATCCCTAACATTTAGGAACCAGATCATGTTCCTCTGCTCTCTAGTCTCCTAGGATGGCTGAGGGGACCGTCTGCTTTGACAAGGTAATTTCAGTAGATTAAATGACAAAGCAGGATATGTCCCATTTTCGACCTCAGAAACTAACAGATAAGGACAGGATGGGTCCAGAGAGGTAGCACAGTTGGTAAAGTACCTGCTGCAGCAAATGTAGGAGCCAATACAGAGGGACCTGTCTGTAAGCCCGTTGCTGGTTGGGGTTTGCATAGAGGTTAAAACAGGAGATCCCTGAAGCTCACTGGCCGGCCAGCCTAGCTGAATTGGTGACCTCCAGGTTTGGTGGGAAAACCTGTTTCAAAACTAAGGTGCAAGGGCTAGAGATATGGCTCACTGGATAGAAGTACCTACCACCAAACCAGACAACCTGAGTTTGATCCCTGGAGACACACATGGTAGGAAGGAGAGAACCTGCTTACATGAATTATCCTCTGACCTGCAC